TTATTTAAAGGAGCTGTTCGGACTAACCGCTTAATTGTATGCCGAATCAATTTCTATGGAATTTCACTGAGTACGACCATGAAGGAAAAATAAGAACAAGAAGGACAAGAAAGAAGAAAATGCGTTCAAAAATACAATGGAGGACAGTGATTGGTTATAAACCTGTTAACAAAAAGTGTATATAAGTTAAATGAGTGGAAAACTTTTGAAATTTATTTTACTAGATACAAATTTCAATCTAAATCAGGGGCAAATTATTTATTGTTTTAACTGTATAAAAACACATTTGTTATTTTATACTTTCATTTACTTTTCTTGTATAGAAACAATAAATTTAATTACTGATAATTTATTTTGTTATGATAAATTGTAAGAAGTTTAACAAGCCTTGTAAATTTATTTTAGGCAACTTGTATTTATTAAGTAGGATTGGTGGTAGATTTTTTTTCTGATTTTAGAGACGATCGGATTTGTTAATATACAAGTTTGTAACAATTAAATGTTTATACACATTGGGCCAATGTTGGTCCAATATATCGGGCCAACATTGGGCCAACGTCATTTGCCAACATCGGCCCGATGTTCTTGATGACGTTGGGCCAACATTGGCCCAATGTCGCATTCATTGGGCCAATGTTGGCGCAACGTTGGGCCAATATCTGCAGAAATAACTCCCTACATTGGGCCAACGTTGGCCCAACATATCGGGCCAACATTGGGCCGATGAGCAAACTTACGTTGGGCCAATGTCATTTGCCAACATTGGCCCAATGTAACCGATGACATTGGCCCAACGTTGGCCCAATGTTAGCATGCTATCTGGGGTATTTGTTTGTTTGAGTAAAGGACCTCATATAGCATAGATTCAAATTTCTAAAAATTATGTAATGGTCAAAAACGGTTTCAAAACAGCTTTAATATGGAGACAAAAGGATTACATTAATATCAATAACATATTGTGAAAATAGGAAAATAGACCTCGGTCAAAAAGGGAAAAAAATGGAAAAGGGGCATGTGACTAAAAATTCCCGGAAAAATAAAGGAATCGGAATTTCCTGGTAATATGCACATCTACATATTGCGTCCTAAATATCTGCAAAGTTTAACGAAATTCTGTGCAGCGGTTTATGAGGAGTTGCGCTGACAAACTTTTCATCTCTATGTAAAAGGTATGGCCAAAAACCTAAGTTTTTAGTGCGAAAAGTCCTGGAAAAAATAAAGGAATCGGAATTTCCTGGTAATATGCACATCTACATATTGTGTCCTAAATATCTGCAAAGCTTAACGAAATTCTGTGCAGCAGTTTATGAGGAGTTGCGCTGACAAACTGTTCATCTCTATATTCAAGGTATGGCCAAAAACCTAAGTATTTAGTGCGGAAAGTCCCGGAAAAAATAAAGGAATCGGAATTTCCTGGGAATGTGCACATCTACATATTGTGTCCTAAATATCTGCAAAGTTTGACGAAATTCTGTGCAGCGGTTTATGAAGAGTTGCGCTGACAAACTGTTCATCTCTATATAAAAGGTATGGCCAAATGCCTAAGTTAAAAAGTGCGGAAAGTCCCGGAAAAAATAATGGAATCGGAATTTCCTGGTAATATGCACATCTACATATTGTGTCCTAAATATCTGCAAAGTTTGACGAAATTCTGTGCAGCGGTTTATGAGGAGTTGCGCTGACAAAGTGTTCATCTCTATATTCATGGTATGGCCATGTGCCTAAGTTAAAAAGTGCGGAAATTCCCGGAAAAAATAATGGAATCGGAATTTCCTGGTAATATGCATATCTACACATTGTGTCCTAAATATCCGCAAAGTTTGACCATCGGTTTGTGAGGAGTTGCGATGACAAAAAAATAGGACAAACTGACTGACGGACGGGTCAAAAACATTATACCTCCCGCAACTAGTTGCGTGGGGTGTAATTAGACCTTTTACCTTTCATGAACACATGCGACAAAATTACAAAGAGTGAGATGAAAGGTCTAATTTTAATTAGATTGTGGCAAATACAGGTTTCTTTGAGTTGATTAACTACCATATAAGCAGAATTTTTAGTAAGGATTTAATTTTGGCATTATTAGCAAGGGTAGTAAGAGCACTAAAATTGAATTTAGCTGAACATTAATTGTGTTTCAGTTGTAAGAGCTTCTTCAGCGAGTAGTTTAAAATAGCTAAAATTACTTCTTGCTGAAAATAATATACATGTTGTTACAGATTTTAAAGGACAAATCACTAAATTAGCGTCTCACTAAAATTTCACTTCTACGGTATTTTGTTAAGGATACACCAAAGGTTTCCAAAGGGCAAAATTTAATTTGCTTGTAATTCTTTCATTAACAAAGATAACATATTAAAAGTATATATCATTTGAAAGCTTGTTAAATGTACTATTAAATGATTCTAATATAAACTTTCATTTTTATCTTTTTAACAAATTATTAATATTTTAATGTAAATATTAGTGCATTTATATTTTATAAATCAACTTTTTTTGTATTCCACCTTTCAAAGTCAAACTTTTGCCTCAATGTAGATTAAAGATTGAACTTTAAAACTGTATCTCAGATTTTTGATAAATCTTCTTATTCAAAAGTTACATCCATTTGTCTTTCAATGTTACTGATCTATTAGCCAAATTCTACATTTCCCCCAATAAATCGAGAACTGAGCAAGATATCAAAAATCTGAGATACAGTTTTTTGAACACACATTTGAGATGCATTCTGGCCAGTTTTCAGAGAAATTGGTCAATAAATGAGGGAGCTGAATCCTTTGAAATAATACATCAACTGTCTGATCTTACTTTACAGTAGAGGGCAAAAACCCATTACACAACAAAGTCTGCCAAAACTAGAAATATATGACACCTTGGAGATTCAGCTTTGGATACCTGTCACTTATCCATATTTCCTATGCATATTCACAAGAATGGGGGGTTCTATTCTTTATTAAGGTGCTTTTAATGAAGTAAAATAGGTTCAATTCTGAATCAGAAAGATTTCCCGGCAAAATGGCAAAAGCTACGCCCCACCTCCTATTTCACGGTCATTAGTGACCTGTTAGATCTCCTTCCCTAAATCTAGAGTCCCTGTAGTTTAATTACTGATAACCTCTGTGTGGCTAGTGAAGAATTCCCCAAGTGGTCACAGTGATTTATTGCTCCTTTCAGAAGCAGGCAGTTACAGACCAAATCAGAAGCTTCAATAACGGCACATTCACATGTGTTAGTGTTTATGTTTGATTATTGTTAAATAATTAGAAAACCATTTAATAATCAGAAAGAATTTTTCATGCATCATAAAACAGTCATTAGCATTGTTTTCTTAGCCAAAAATCTCAAAATTGACAAAAATCTTGAAAAAAGCCTTTGGTGTATCCTTAAATCCTAGGCCTGATCATTCCATTTCCCTTGGTTTTCAGTTTGTTTTTTGATATTATATAATTAATCCTTTACATGGTGTTTTATACTCAGTTCACTGTAAAGGCCCTTAAATTAGGCCTCTTGTATTATTGTATACATATTTAACCTCAACATCTCTAATATCTTTTTTGAGGTCTCACCAAGTTCAAGATTAAGCTTCCACTGAGTAACATCAAGTGATTATTGAATTTTAAAAAATCAAATACCTTAAATGCTATTATATACTAGTCTTCCTTATTTAAATTTAACAAAATTAACATTTTGAAAGTTTCACACATATTTTATTCATGTAGCAGTATAGCAACTATGGCACACAATTGAAATCAAAAACAAGGAAATTCAACAATTGGTGTACCATGCAGATGTAATTGAAATTTGTCTGAAACACAATGAGAACTAGCATTAGAGGGAATTCAGACCATTCATTTATAATTACAGTGGACCTTCAGATATCCGGACGCCAGATATCCGGATGCTTCAGTATCCGGACGACTTTTCATCGGAATGGATTTTTTAAAATTTATTTTGTCTTGTTTAACTGGTAATTCAGATATCTGGAAACTTCACATATCTGGACAAATTCAAATTGACTATAGGAACCAAAGCGTCCGGATAAATGAGGCTCTACTGTAGTAACAATGGCAACAATGTGACCACTTTAAAACATTTCAAGTCCTCGGGAAAAACATAGATATAAATTTTGAAAAATGGAACACTGAAATGATAAAATTTCCCACAAAATTTTTTTTTCCTATTTTAAAAATTGTATTCATTAAAATTTCAACAATTGCAAAGGCACATGTGCCAAGAAACTGCATAAAAATAATGGAAGCTTTCTGTGAACATGAATGTACATGTATAGTGTATTTTTGTAAGACATTAATGCTTCTGTCAAAATTCCTAAACTGCATGTCTGCACATGTAAATAAATTGATGTAAATATCCAACAAGTACTGAACACAAAATGGTGAAACATTTTAAAATGTAAAAAAAAAAAAAAGAAGAAGAAATCACTATGAGATAAACATAGAAATAATTTTACCTAAAATAAGATCAAAAGAAACTAATAAGTCAATATACACATGTAAAATTGCTTTGCAATTTTAAAATCATATAAAAGAGCAATGTATAATAACATATAAACAACAAACATGTAAAAGAGAGTCTGAATACTTACATGTTCAATTAAAGACATTATTAATACACATTCATATTTTGGATATATAAAACATACATGTACATTTCTATTTTTCAATGTGAACAAATGTTTCACATGTCTCTTTTCTAATCTGAAAAATATGTTATACATATACATGTATATAGCAATTATACAAGTATTTAAATGAAAAAAAATATCAGAAGTGCATTTATACCAATACATAATAGGGCAATCACATTGCCATAGCACTGAATATAAGGACTTTCATTTGACTATCAAATACAAAAGTAAAGCACTGCATACAAAAAATCCAAACTTTGTATTTTTCTTTCGATTTTCCTATGGTATACATGATAATATTAGTGTGATAAATCTACAAATATAATTTGTGAAGGAATGCTCAAGAATAGGGGGGGGGGGAAGGTGGGTATATGTGCATATTACAAGATAATTGTATTTAGACTCTTTAGTGATACTTTTTTATGGCTTGGGTTGCTGCCTTTTGACGGTGATTTCCTCTGCATTTTTTTGGGGGGTGACATTTCTATCTCTTGACTTTCTTCCTCCTTTTGTTCCATTTCCAGGTTCCCCTGAATTCTTGTCAAGATATCACGGAGTACACATGCCCTCAGTTCAGGTGTCCCTATTGGGTCATTAAGGCCCCTGAAGTCCTCCAGAGAAATCCCATGAGAAAGCTAACAGAGAACAGTTTAAAATTAAACACATGTAAAAATTTTCAAATATGAAAACATTTAGCTTCACATAAAATAAAGTTAACCTGTTCAGTGAATGTTGAATCCACCTCCATATTCATTACAAATGGTATAACATGGTGATCATTCCAAGCAAACTTCTTAGCCAGTCTTAAATATTTTACATCTGAATCACCTGTAACAAATCAACAGGCCTAGATTTTATTAACAAACTGAATGATGAACATCTTTTTACTTGATATCATGCATCTCCCAACAAGTTGGACAAAATAAATAAAAGCAACTAAGTTTAAGTTCAATGAATTTGACTTGAATACTTAAAATTGCCAATTCTCCAAAGCAAAACTAACCAATCAGAATCAGGCAAACTTGGACAGCTTTAGAGACAATGAGATCTCTCTCCTGTAGACTATTCCCACAGAAGTAAGTCTGACCAAACGAGATCACCTGGAATGTTCCATCGCTGTTTTGGGGGTAATCCTTACTCACATCCTACAGGAACATACAGAGGAAATGTACTGTATAAAATGATGTAATACAATTATAAAGATTTAGATTAGATACAGTCATACCTCGTTATCTTGAACTTGATGGGATTGAAAAAAAACCTTTGAGAAAACCAAGGATTAGAGATATTGAGGGTAAAATACTTGAAGAATAAGTGATTGGAAATTCAACATCATTTTCATATATACATGGTATTCAAGATATCGAAGTTCAACTGTACATTATTATGTAGGATCACAGACCTCTTTTTCTTGCTCGGGGAGGACATGCCAGACTTGGTGAGGTCTCAGTTTTTGTTGAGTTTCTTCCTGAAATGCATGACTGACCAAGTATTCCACATTGTATCCCCCTCCTGTTACCACGGTGATGTCCTCAAATTCACTTAATACCTTACCAAGCAGTCTATTATGTGAAAAATAGAAATGAAGTAATAAACATAAAACTTGATTATTTATGATAGTCAGTGAATATTAAAGTTTAAAATGTTGAATAAAGGACAATCTTGCCTGACAGAATACAGTAGTGTCAATATTGTACTAGTATAACTTTTTTGCATGCAAGCAAGCAGTCTTAGCAATTATTTGATGTTCTATTTATTTATTATTCTTAAGAAATTGATTTTTATCAGGGTATAAGTTTTATAGATTCTCTCTTTTCATTAAAAAAATTGACATTACGTGAAAGGTTCTGAAAAAACTAGAACTGTCCAAACAGGACAAAATGCCCCCTGCTGGGTTTTTCAGAGGTGCTAAATCATGAATATTTTATGGATCTAAGAGAAGAGAGAAATGCTAAAACATTTTTTAGTGCAAATGTAATTGCTTATTATATTTTTTATAAATGAAACGAAGGCGCAGCCTAATAAAAAAAAATACTCTAAATATACGGACCAGACACGAATTATGAACTTTTTCTGTCATTGACCTTGAACTTGCATAAATGAACTTGGTTCAAAGTCATGACACAACCTCAGGTCATAAGCAATGTTTGTGTGAAGTAGTAGATTCAAGGTTTTCCATAATAAAGATATGTACCAAACATGAATCATACAATTTTTCTTTCAGTGACCTTGAACTTGCACAGATGACCTTGGATCAAGGTCATGACACTTTCTTACGTCATGAGAAATCTTTATGTGTAATAGGAACTTACCAAGTTTTATCCATAAAAAAGATATGGACTAGACACGAATTATGAAATTTTTCTTCCAGTGACCTTGAACTTCCACAAATGACCTTGGGTCAAGGTCATGACACACCCTTAGGTCAAGAGCAATCTTTGTGTGAAATAGGAACCTACCAAGTTTAACCATAAAAAAGATAAAAATGAACCGGACACAAATTATAAAATTTTTCTTCCAGTAACCTTGAACTTCCCCAAATGACCTTGCATCAAGGTCATGACACATGTTTGTGTGAAATGAGAACCTACCATGTTTATCCATAAGAAAGATATGGACCGGACACGAATTATGAAATTTTCTTCCAGTGACCTTGAACTTCCCCAAATGACCTTAAGTCATGGTCATGACACACCCTTAGGTCATGAGCAATCTTTGTATGAAATGAGAACCTACCAAGTTTATCCATAAGAAAGATATGGACCGGACATGAATTATGAAATTTTCTTCCAGTGACCTTAAACTTCCCCAAATGACCTTGGGTCAAGGTCATGACACACCCTTAGGTCATGAGCAATCTTTGTGTGGAGTAATAGATTCTTATGTTCCTCTGTAAGAAAGATATGGACCAGACACATTTGCATAGAAAACTAGACGGACGGACAGACGGACAAGCTGATTCCTATATACCCCCCGAAAACTTCGTTTGCAGGGGGTATAATTGCCCAATGGGCATGCTAAAATTTAAAATGTTCTCATACCTAATTAGATCACTTTTAACATTTTCACAAACTGAAGGACCACATATGTAGATGCAGAGACTGTTCTTGAGGAGTTTCTGTAACTGCTTAACCTACAGAAAATTAAATTACACAATCATGTATCTCAAATCCGACAGACTGGCTCTAATGGATTCTGTACTTGTAAACTGGAATATCATTAAAACTGCACATTGTACATGTACAAAGATATATCAATTATTTTACTCAATAAACAAAATCGTTTTACATGAATAAAACTTTCTGATATTCACTAGTCTTAAATACTGAAGATGAATGTATATAACATACAGCATATGATACCCTGGCTTCTTCAAGTTCTGCATTACTGCTCTGCCTTGCTTTTGGGTCTAGTAGTTTCGTTAGTATTTTGGGCAGGTGCTCCTTATAATTCCTTTTTTCAACACACTGGAAAAAATGTACATACCTAATTAAAACACAAGCATCATGGATCAATGAATGTTAAACAAAGGAATATGACAGAATTCTAACAATGTGTGATTGTGTAACACTGAATCTACCATATGAAAGTTTACAGTTAAAGCTGAACATGACTCGTAAAATAGGCATACGTCATTTTCGATATCATTTTCTCCGATACATCAACATCAGGATATACTCTTCGCATTTCTTACACCTAACTGCTTCATTGTCATGGGTATTGGCATGGTATGGCGACCCATGTTTGTGCTGGTTACTGTAGAAGTACTTTCTTCCCTGGGGTCATAATTCCGCAGAATCTCAATTTTCGTTTAATCCGCGGGTAGAAAATTACACGGATTTCTTAGACTGTCACTTTATGCCTTACATTTATATTAAGTACGCTTGGACAAATTTCCGTGGAAAATTTGTGGCCGCGTACATAGCGTAAATTAATACCACGAGGAAAAAAGTACTTTTACAGTATCTTGCATTAACTCTGTTTACATTTTATTGTGGTTTCGCATATTTGTGTTTGTATATACTGCACTGATCTGTGTAACTGTTGGATCTTTATTATCTTACTTTCCTGCATTGGAAGAGGTACACAGTTATTTTTTGTCGCTACTGAGTATTGTATAGCATACGTCCATGTACACCGGTGACAATTCATTACACTGAACAGTGACTAAGTGACCGGCTCTATTTATAGGGGCCTGCAGATATAGCGAGAGCTAGTCTAAGAACAAATTCTTTTTACAAATCATGTTCAGCTATAAGGACAAAGTTTTTGATAAATTTATGTCAAACTCCGATATCAAGGACCTAGGATAAAAATATTGGTACCTAAGGAATCCCTTCAAGGTCTCCTTAGAAGACATTGTGAAATATAGAAGTCCTACCACTAACCAATCAATAGTTGTGGCTAAGGTTACAAAGCTTAAAAAAATTGGTCAACTCCAAGGACGAATTTGAAAGATCACAAATATCGATACCCAAACAAAAGTATTGTCATAAGAAATACACTTGTGAAAATATGATTCAGATATCAAATCCCTATCAATAACGGTTAAAAAAGTTACAGCTAAGGTTTAATCTTTTTAAAAATACACATGTAGTACTTTAAGGTCATACACCTATGAAATATGTGGCTAAGCCCTTTCAGAAGATATAGCCAAGTTTAAAGGTTTTCAGAGGTAGATTATTGTCTGAGGTCATAAGGCCGAACTTGTTGATATCAAGGTGAAGGTCTTCTCACAAGAAATAAACATTGAATTTTGAAATCTGAAAGCCCTAAAATAAATTATTTGAAGGCTATGGTCACGGTTAAAAATTTTAATAAACTAGGTCAAATTTAAAACAAGGTAAAATATATTGCCAAGTGAATGCCTTGTCAATTTAAATGTCAAAAAAAAAAATGAAACCTTAGCAAAAATTGTTCAAAAGTAATGGCAAAAGTTAAAGTTGGATAAAATATTGCAAAAGTGGGTCAAAAGTTTCACAAGAAATGTACATATGAAATATGTATAGCTCTCACCAATCAAAAGTTATGGATATGTTAAAGTTTTTGTCAACCAAACAATATATGTCCAGGAATCTTCAATTACTGGAGTCAAAATATGTTCTGATTCTAGGAATACCAGGTAATTTACATTTGAATAGTTTGGCAAAACACTGAACTCATTACAATTTAGATGCACAAAGTGTCTCAGATTGTGCCATTAAGGGAAAAACATTACTGTTCAACATTAACAATCTTGTGATTTTTGAACACCTACATTATAAGTGTTAGACTGGAGCATCATCTCTAGCCAGCTGGGGATCTGTGTATCCTCAGTCAGAAAGGGCACCACCTTCTTCCTCTGCTCACAGTAGTACAGCTGAAACATTATAAAGCATGGATATAGAACATTCTCAATAACAGGGTTGAAACATTATGAATCATGTTTACAGAGCACTCTCAATAACTGAAACATTGTAAATCATGTTTACAGAATGCTCTCTATGATAGGACCCCAAATAATGTTTACAGATTGTGAATACTCTCAAGGATAGGATAGGATAAGGATATACTTATAAATCATGTTTACAGAACACTCTAAAAGGATTGAAACATTTCAAGTCATGTTTTACATAACACTCACATACATGTAGATAGGGCTAAAACATTATTTATAATCATATCAAAAACTCTCAAAGATCACTACTCAAACCATGACATATGCATTATTTTTTTCTGACAAAATCATTGGATATCACTAAGATTGTGTTTTTTTTTTCTTTTCACAATTCTAATTTTAAGTTCTGATAGTTTTAACACAGTAGACATTGTATAGCTTGTACCCAATGGCATACTGCCCTTGGTTCTGTTACCTGTTGCTGACAAGTCTTGGAGTGGATGAAGTCAGATGACAACACAACAATAACAACTCCAGCATCATCGGCTTTCTCCTGGAAACTCTCTCTGACCCCATCACCTATATCACTGTATTCTAACAAACAGAAAAATTAGGTCATTTTACCAAAAAAACTTTTACAAATATCTAGTACATATTGTTATCTTTGAGGCAAATACTATTTATGCATATGCATCTACTAGTAGTAAGTATTATTGAAACAAGAGGCCCATGGGCCACATCGCTCACCTGAGCACTGTGGCTAGGAAAAAGTAGAAATTGGATTATTATTGAAAAGTTTAAATCCAAAAGTAGTCCCATGACCAATCGTGGCTTTGCTATTCTTGAAAAGAAGATTTTTAAAGAATTTTCCTATATATTTCTATGTAAAACTTTGGTTGGCCATTTTGGCCGCGCCCTACCCCTGGGGGTCATGATTTGAACAAAACTTTAATCTACACTACCGTAGGATGCTTCCATATAAGTATGATCAATTATGGCTTTGTTATTCTTGAGAAGAAGATTTTTAAAGAATTTTCCTATATATTTCTATGTAAAACTTTGGTTGGCCATTTTGGCCACGCCTACCCCCAGGGGTCATGATTTGAACAAAACTTTAATCTACACTACCGTAGGATGCTTCCATATAAGTTTCATCTTTCCTGGCACAGTGGTTCTTGAGAAGAAGATTTTTAAAGAATTTTCCTATATATTTCTATGTAAAACTTTGGTCGGCCATTGTGGCCCCGCCTTACCCCCGGGGGTCATGATTTGAACAAATTTGAATCTACACTACCTGAGGATGCTTCCATATAAATATGATCAATCGTGGCTTTGTTATTCTTGAGAAGAAGATTTTTAAAGAATTTTTCCTATATATTTCTATGTAAAACTTTGGTCGGCCATTGTGGCCCCGCCCTACCCCTGGGGGTCATGATTTGAACAAATTTGAATCTACACTACCTGAGAATGCTTCCATATAAGTTTCATCCTTCCTGGCACAGTGGTTCTTGAGAAGAAGATTTTTAAAACATGCTACAAAATTTTTATTAATTCCCAATTATCTCCCCTTCATTTGAACAAAATTGAATCCCCTTCACCCAAGGATGCTTTGTGGCAAGTTTGGTTGAAATTGGCCCAGCGGTTCTTGAGAAGAAGTCGAAAATGTGAAAAGTTTACAGACAGACAGACAGACGGACTACAGACAAAATGTGATCAGAAAAGCTCACTTGAGCCTTCAGCTCAGGTGAGCTAAAAATACATGTAGTTAATAAAAAATTACAAAGCCAAAGAGTTTGTATGTGCATTTACATGTATATACAGATATCCATGTACATAAAAATTGATCAGAAAAGCACACTTTAGCCTCTGCCTCAAGTCGATGCACATGGTTTTTACCTACACACAGTGTATAGTAAAGAGTAGTGTTGGCAACGAGTACCCGGTTAACCGTCGAACGCTGCGAGTATCGGTTAGTAAAACTGCTATTCGGTTACTCGGATAAATATACTTTTTTCATATTTCATAATATAGAATACGTTTAACATAATTTTTATGTCTTTTGGAAATTTAAATTGACACACTTCTCTAATTTAATTACCGTTAGGCTTGCTCTAGTGGTTCACAAATAGGATCGATTTGTTTTGTTTTGTTTAATTGGTGGCAATAATTGCCTGGGGGGTTGGGGGGGGGTACTTGATTTGAAAACCTAAGTTATAATTACCTCATTTTAATAGACATGTGATAGAGGAACATAAACATTAACAAGATGCCGCCGCAATTACCAAGAGCGTGGAAATATTGTTAAAGAACTCGAAATCTACCAAATTCAAATTCTGTAAATCGGATTTGTCGTACAAATACCGTATTTGGCCGAGTATAATACGCATTGATGTAAAATACGCACCCCCCTTTTTGTGTCTGGAACTGGGGGAAAAAACGCAGTTCGGATGTATTATACGCAACAGAAAATTTTACCAAACGATGTTCTGAACTTTGAAAATCGCGGTAGTTTGTAACGAAAATCGGCGCGAAGATTAAGTGTCAAAAATTTACAGAACACACATTTTTTTTCAAATGCATTTATATTTTTTTCTTAATCTGCAATTTCCATATCGCAGCAATCTGGAGAAAATTATTTATTCATGAATTTCAACAAAGCACAAGATAATGTTGCGTAAAGGTGTTAACAGAATTTATTTTTTAAGCATACGGTGATTTTGAAATAATAAGTGGCTATATAATTCTTTGGTGAAATAATTTTATATCAACAAGGCATGAGATATTGTTGCAAGTTTAAACAGTTGTCATATTTAATTTTGGTTCGAGGTAATCATGCTGAAAAAAGAAATTGAAACATCAAAGTATTTTAAAAATTAAGTAGACTACGATTTTCCTCTTCTGAATCGTCGCGGATATTTTATTTTCTACAGAGCACGAATAAATGAAAACACTTAAGTTTTAGCTTACTTCATATTTAATCTGTTAAATCTCAATTATTTAAACAAGGGTTCGATAAGTATAAGATAAGGAAAAATTACATTTAACAAGTGTTTAATTGTTAAATGTGTCGTAATCAACACACGCTCACACATACGAAAGATTACAAACCGATCCCCGCTTTTTAACAAAGAAAATAACCAAAACAATTAAGGACAGTGAAAATAATCATCGCTATAACTGTAGAAACATTGCTTTGGAGTCGGTAGACAATTAATTGCCCGGAGGGGTGTAACGGGTGTTGAGAGGTAATTATCAAGTGACAGCGCACGTGTGTCACGACATTGGCTTCCTTTCATTGGGACGTATAGAGGGGTGTTTGTGTTGCAGTGAATTTTCACTGAGTTATTTAAAAACTAAAATAAAAATTTTATTTTATTGTATTTCATTTAAAAATGACTTATTACTTTGTCAGGCAGATAAGGTGCATATGTACTATGATTACGGAAGCACGTGACAAAGGAATGTGTTAACGTCTTAAAATAGCATCGGTAATGGCGGCCTACACGGTGACGATAAACATGGAGCTCAAATTATTTTAACTTGCTTTTTCATGTCATTTTAGTATCAAAATATTATGAAAGTGTTATTTTTAACAAGCATACATTCCAACAATAACTTTCCGAAGTTTAAAAATGACAATAAACAAAAGAAGTTGTATATGTCTCTTGGTAATACTACGGTATGTACGTATGATAGCCGTGTTTCACCTGAAAGAAAAACTTATCAAAATCCCATTGTGATGTAAAATACGCATCCCTTTCTCACAGAAATTTATTTTAAGAAAAAAGTGCGTATTGTATTCCCCCAAATACGGTATTCTAAATTATTTTGGATTGAAACATATTTCGATAACCAGCGACTTGCAGAAGACTCAACAATTTATTTTTTTTTGAGTTTGTATTTGTAAATAAAGTTCATATATATATATCTTACATTTGTTGTTTATTTCTACCAATAATTACAAGGACGAGATTAATAATAAATATGGAAACTATGATATAAAATCATCTGAGTAACCGGGTACTCGATCGGAAGATTAAGTGAGTAACTGGTTAATAAAATTCGATTTGCCAACACTAGTAAAGACGTAATTCTTAATCACATCTTTTACAATATAAAAACTTTAATATAGCTGTACCATTTTTACCTCCTACTTTATCAGTGACTGTGCACCATACTTCAAAACCCAAACTCCTGATGAAATCAGCCAGTTCTATACTCTGTAAATAGTAAAACAAGTGTAAGTGATTGTACAAACTACATCACAGATTACATCAACACAAATACAAAATACATATCGGAACTTAAATTTTTGTTCCATATTAAAGGAAAATGAACAATACACTTCGACATTTTTTATTGGTCATTAGAACATTAGAAAATTATGTAAGCAACTGAATGTATGGGTATTATAATAAAGTTACATGTATGTCAAAACATCGCAATTTTTGTTTATTCTTTTATTTTTTTATTTATAATTAAATTTATTTACAAGAAAAGTGAATGAGACTGGGCAGCAGGCAAATCCTATTTTATGGATACCTAAATGACTGTAAAAAATAATTATCTGTACATTGTAATATCTGGTAGTGATTACTTTAATCTTGCTCCTCCCCCATAAAGGTATGTAATACAATCAATTCATACCAATGAAGTGTATTATACTCCTGACCTACCAGCTGTTGTTGGTTGACATGAACACACACCACAACCAGAGGACAACCATCTCTGTTACACATCGAGGCTTGCTCATTATTCTCCTCAATCAATGTACAGCTTTTAACAACTGTTCTCTATTAAAAAAGTAATAAATCACTTCATAATTTTCAAGCTAAATGTCAATTATTGATTAAAAAAAACCCAATTTTTACTGATAGATCACATTATTAGTGCAGAGTTACCCACCTAACCAGTAAAGTTTTCTGATAAAAATCAATCCATTTTTTATGCTAAATGACATTATTTAATGAAACAATTTTTAACTGACAAGTCAGTTTGTTGGTGCAGAATTACCCTTTTAACCAGTGAAGTTCTCTTCTGTATAGCCTTTTCCTTGGCTTTGTTGAGGTGATCTTTTATTTTACTGGCCACTTCTCGGATATGCCTGTGTTCCCACACTTTGATATCTTTGGCTGAATTGGAGCCCTCTGATATTTCTGTGGATGGATTTTTTAAAAAATCTTAACACATTATCTTATGCATGCATATTGATCAAGATATTCTGATTTTTGAAATGCATTTGCTAAAATCAGTTAAGTATAAAGTAATTTGTATTTTTCCTTCATGTAAAGCTGAAGGGCACAATTGTTGTTGAATTATTCTGCTTAAATGGTGTGTTACAGTAGATTGAGTTCTATGACTGGTTATAAAAAATGCCCATTCTTTGCGGATGCCATACTTGAACTTTTATTGTACAATTCTCACTCTAATTTTAATTAAAATAGGCAGATTTCTCATAGCAAATTTATGCCTTAAAGACTGCCCCACTAAAGAAAAAGCTAATATTTAAATAATTAAAATATCTCAAGTAACCATTTTATCCTTGTGTTTTGATCTATCCTTGTGTTTTGATCTATACCTGCAGTGATTTGTGCCTGCGTTTTCCAGTCAATATATTGCGTAGTGGCAAACTGAATGGCCAGGCACTGCGGTGGCCAACAATCCAGGAAGCTGACAGGCACGATGAACTTCCCCAGAACATCTGCCAGCTTTATCTGTTTAATGGGAGCTAATATATTACTTGTCAAGCTATCAAAGCAAAAAATAGGAAATAAAGTAGAAGTTGATGTCTCATCATACTACATGTAAGTATCTAATTTTACAAATACATGTGTATTTTGAAGTGAGTAAATGGTTTCCACTGAATGACATAACTTAAGACTGAACTTTAAATTCATGGGTATCTCAGTCAACTTTCTTTTACATGAATACTTAATTTTGAAGATCTAAGTTTCATGGTACATAACATCATTAAGAAAGTCATTTCCAGGTATTTTTCAACAATGGAGTAAATCTATGAGGTTAAATATGTTCATCCTCAATCACTTGTATATAAACCAAGATTAATATTCTGTAACACTTGCCTCCCTATTTGTCCATTGAGTTTCTCCATATTTTGGTGTGACAAGAGCAACAAAATATTCACAGTTACTGACAGCATAATTCAGGGAATCTTGCCAGTCTAAACCTGACCGAATCTCATGGACATCCTTAAACAACAAGAAATGTATCATCAACATATATTAATAAAAATAAATTCTGTTGTAAACCATTTAATTCAACTGACTTCAACATGAAAAGAAACATTAATTATACATCATTCAAAATAAAAACCCTTGACATTTTAAAGAATTAAGGTATTTCAACAAACTCCCAAAGTAATACTTTTCATTATTAACTCTTCGAAATTTATTTAACTTTCCATCTCACCAAGTACACAGTGAATCCAAGATGAGATAACTCCTGTTTGAGCCTGAGTGCGTGTTGAGCGGCCTCTGCCCTGACGTAGCTGATGAGGATCTGTTTAACTGACCCCGTCATATCCCCCACGCTGGAATCTGCCGGGGACACTCGCTCCAGATCCTTACTGGACCGGAACGACAGGTGACGCTTCCTAAAGATAGACCATGTAACAGGTTATTAAATTGAGTCTTTCTGTAATTTTTTTCCCAATCCAACAATATGGTCTATATGTTTATAAAAACTGAATTTCATATTTTGTAAGATATATGTACATTGTACAATAAAGCTGCTAGGAGTCGTTGCTATGTCCAAATAATGTGTTGCTGTTTATTGTACTTTCATATGAAAGTAATGAGTGGATTTAAAGAAGAATGTGTATGTTTTTCATCATGTTAAACTAAAAAGAATCTGATGGCCAAGTTTAAAGTCTTTCAAATGAAAGTCAAACTGCAAGTGATAGGACAGATCCTGCTTTAGATGCAGGACTTGTACTGTGGATCCCTAGATGCTTCATTCATGCAAGTCTTGATAGGGAACATTGTTACTTTAGAATGAATGTCAATATGAGATCTGCTCCAAAAAAATCAACCTTGTCGAAAATCTTAAAGCGGTCATCTTTATGAAATTTTCTTGAAGATAATGAAGCATCTGAGACCTGTCTTTGAAAATGAATCAAATGATCCATCATCAATAAAGATTTATCAAAACTGAGTATAGAACTACCATACTTTGAAAGAAAAACTTTCACCTAGTAGGACACCATGTCAATGTCAGCATGGAGGCTGTAATCATATGCTCCCAAGTCTTTGTACAGGTGAGCGAAAAATTGTTTTCTTAAAAAATTTTCATACTTTAAAATTCAAGATTTTGTCTTTAAGACTAAGAATTGCACTACAGATGTACATGTAAGGAGTATATATGATAAGAGCCAATTCTGGCCCCCTAAAAATCAACATTTTAGAATGACATTCAGATATGTTTTAATTGATATTTATTTTGTAGAAGAGATTATATTAGAAATAGTTGTAATATATTTTTCACATATGTATGTACTCACTAGCTGTAAATGACATGAGAAATAATACTATTTTTTCTATCCAACAAAAAAGCCAAAAATATGCCTTTTTCTTGATGTTTTTACTTATGGGAAACATAGAGCGCAGTGTAGAACATGTATTATAATTTTTCTGTCACTAATAAGTATTGGATAGATACATCTTTGGTGAAAATATAAAGCTTGTTCTAGGCTGCGCTCTATATTTTCTGGAAGAAAAACTGCTTGAAAATAAGCCGTTTTATACAAAAAATGCTAAAATGGCGGGAAAACGTGATTTTCATGATGTCATATTTCTAAGATAAGGGTATTTTGATCAAAATGAAAATGACTAATGAAGGTCACATATATAGCTGTACAAACTAAAGCTATAAATAAAGTAAAATTCAGATATTCATTTTAAGGGGCCAATTGAGACACTTATCATATATTACTCTTTGGACCACACATTATTCACTGTTAATCCTCTTCTACTTGTATATAAATGAAAGCAGAAACACTGACCTGTTAATTGTGCAAGCCTTGTACTGAGGAGAGGTTCTGGTTGGTGAGGTCTTGAACCTGATCATGACGTGCCTCTCATTTATCACATCAAGAACAGACAGACTTCCTTCTTGTCTGAGACTGACAGGCCAGCCATGTTGTTCTAAGAACTGGAATCCCTGGAATGACCTATTTCCTTCATCAAGTATCTGGAAGAAAATAATTCAAGATTCCAAATCAAAATCTTAACCAATATTCCAAACATTTTATTGCCATCTTTAGGCCTGACAGAATTTTGCATGAACATACAGATACATTGAAACCTGTCTAATCCAACATGCACTGGGTGACACATTTTGTGTCCTAATGTACCGTTACGGGGTGTCAGCTTAGGTACCTGGTGTAAAATGTCATGAAATTTCATAAAATTGGAAGGAAGTTTTAGTTCAGAATCTAGTGTGGTGGATTGCACAGGAGTCAGATTAGACAGTTTTCACTGTAAAATGGTTTATCTTAAAGAACATCTGCTTGAATCTTCAAGAACAACATCTCTCCTTCAAAGATCCAATTCTGATACTTATACATGTGTTTCACATTTTGTTTAATTCTTTAATTTTAAATAAAGAAAACAATGACCTGATCTTGGATCAAGGATCTCAGATGACTGAGTTTGGACTGTACTGCACACAACACAAAGCCCAGCACCTCTCTATCTGTGTTCTGAATGGCTATTTTATCCTCTTCTGAAAATATTATAAAGATTTTTATGGACAAAACATTGGTAAATCATATGTACAACTTATCATTTTGTACATATGTAGGCTATAATTTCTATCCATAGACATGAATTGGACGTCAATATTTTCAGGATTTTAAAAGTCATACTCATTAGAATTTATTTGTTAATCAAATGCAAGTCATCTCTTACAACATTCAATTCAACCAATTATCATGTATTGGTATATGCACTACCATCTACGAATTCATGCTGAATGTGATAAAGTTTCTGGAACACCAAAAATAAAGGAAAAGAAATTAATTTTCATTGTATGTTTATTGAATATCTAAATCCAGTTACAGTGTATTCCCCATTTTCAAAAGTGAGTTATCTCCCCTCGAAATCGGAACTCTTCTACACAGGCATAACTTCCGCGGACTACGCATTACGATAATCCAACAAAATAGTGATAAACTTACACGCTACATTTAAAAAATTTAAAAGAAGGAAACGGTTTGCGAAAAAAAATTAGATAATCAACGATTTTATAAAGGATCTGTTAGCCCCCCCCCCTTTCTAGATAGCGATAAGAATTAGCCAGGCACGTAGCATCGTCTTTAAAAGTGGGGGGAGGGGGGGGGGGGCAGCCAGAGAAATATTTTTTTTACTTACCTGAAAAATTTTAAAACCAAAAAAAAAAAAAAAAAAAAAAAAACCTTGCCCAAAGTCTAAAAAAGCTACTTATTTCAGTACCAATTTCTTGGCATACAATACTACATTTCCCTTTTATAACTTTACCGTAGTATAAACTGGGGGGGGGGCCTGTCTCTCAAAGAATTTTTTTTAATAATAAAAGTAATGTTCGGAAAAAAGTGGGGGTGGAGCTAGGCGTACAGCATGTACAGAGAACGAATGTGTAAATGGGTTGAACAGTTGAATATGAACCAAGTTGTGGAAATTAAAAATCATTAGAATTATTTATTGTGAATTCAATATAATTACGATCATATATATATATATATGTATATGTTTCTTAACAGATGTACATGTATGTCAGTTACACGATGTTTCATGAGCCTCTCTCTCTCTCTCTCTCTCTCTCTGATATTGTTTTTACACACTTTGCAAAAAGTATAAGTTATAAACATAAATACATACACTGAAAGGATTTTAAAAACAAATATCACTTTACGAAAAGAATGTTGTCTGTATTAACGAGAAATACGCTCGGAAATTATTGTATCAATTTCGTGTTTCTGCTGTCAATTCTCTGATCTAAAACAAAATAAGTGTATTTTACATAAAATTGGAAGGAAGTTTTAGTCGGGAATATATATGCTTAGATCCTACAATAAAACTTTGATTAAATGCAGCTCAGATTTTATACGACATATTAACACGAATTCAGGTCGATGCTATTTTAAAGTCTTTCTTCGTTATATGAGCACATGAGATTAAACTCATTCAGAATTTCATTCAAAGTTTTAATTTATAAAGTGAATCAATTATTTTTCAAATGTAAATTTTAAAACACCGTTAATTCAAATGAAATAGGCCTTCAATTGTCACCAAATGTGTTCGTGTAATAAACTATGTTATGACATACAATCAGCACAACACAAAGACCAACTACTGCTCTATATGCAGCAATTTCAGAGGAAAAAATGTAGATGGACATGTCATCAGTCTCCAAAAAATTCCTAGAAATGCAAAGAAGAAAATATGGCTGCAACAGACTAGGTTAATTCATAAAAACTCTATAACTATACAAAAAATTCTTATATTTGTTCTGCACATTTTGTAAATAATGACGATCCATCTGCAGAACATCCACTACCGAAAATGAAATTTTAGCTTTTGTTTTTTTAAAAAAAAAAAAAGGCTTATTCATATATGTTTCAGCATTTTTTCAGTAATCTGTTTCGTTTTTTATTTTTGTAAGGGGGGGGGGGGGGGGCTCACACAGCGCCTTATTATACTAGTATACAGATTAATAAAATCCAGAAAGAGGCTATGAGTGAGCAATGTTAAATAAATAAATGAGTTAAGATTTCTTTTTATTTACAGTTTGTCATATGCATTATGCACATGTTATCAAGAACGTGAAGTGACTTTCGTTTTAGCGCATGCAATTAAACACAGTTCCCTTATATACTTTTGAAAATGGGGAATATACATTCAATAAATTAGTAAACCAATAAAACAATGCATTAGTAGCACAGTAATACACAAAAAAATATAACAAAACATCAAATTACTTATAGCACTTCTGTATAAAACATAATCAAGTTAATCAACAACTAGTAACATACCAATAGCACTTTTACTTACCCCAAAAACATAGACAACAAAATTATGATCAGGTTATTCATATATTTCTTCAGCCCTAACTCACTTTTGAGCCCTAACTCACTTAAAGTAATCAACACATAATCAACAAGTAGTACCGGATATGTAAAACAGTTAATATCATATTTTTAGGACAATTTACATCAGCACTTCTTTTCAAATATTAGTTTCATCACATCACAAAATAGCACTAACATTAATTGTTAAACCTGGTAACAACAAGGTCACCACGAGCATGGCACACTCTTGATGACACTGGACACAATCACCATAAATATGGCACACTTTTTTGACACTGTACACAAAATGATCACCACATTCATGGAACACTTTTGTTGACACTGGACACAAAACAATCACCAGAAGCACGGCACACTCTTGTTGACCCCTGATGACCTCCTCTTGTTGACCCCTGATGACCTCCGGCTTCTGTTCCTCTTGTTGGAGAACCACTTCTTGACCTGCTCCTCCTTGATCCCTCCTCTCCTGGCCAGCTCCTCGATGACGTCGGACGATGGGTATGGATGGTCAAGGTGACTGTAGTACCACTGCTCCATCAGCTGAACGGACTTCTGGGATAGCGATGGTCTGGTGCGGAGGTTGATCATTTTAGGCTCTGTGGTGGTGGAGGTGATGGCAGTGCTGAATGGTGATGGCTTGGGAACACTCTCCTCCAGGATCTGCAGGCTGTTCTCTACACGGTCCATGATGCGGTGATGGATGATGTTGTAGTGGTGGTTGATGCTCTCCCTGATGTGATGTGGCTGGTTGGAGTTCTGGTGAAGGGCACAGTAGCGGTCTGTCTCCACTTGGGCACTCTGGTACTTGTAGAAAGATGACAAGTCGTTGATCTGTTGAGGATGGTGGTGACGAAGGTTGTTGAATCTCTGCCACAGCTGATGTTCACGATGGGTTATGGACATCTCGGGTTGCACAGACTTGATGAGCACAGATGGTGTGGATGAAACGGCCTCAGAGCGGAAGATGAACTGAAATGCACTGCAGATGTCGTTGGCTGAGATGTTGGCAGGTGAAGGCAGAAGACACTGAAGAGCAAGCTGAAGATCAGATTGAATGGTGTCGGATTTCTCTGGTGTTGGATGTTCAGTGGTGAGAGAATCCAGGCACTCATCAAATCTGGTTTCTGCTGGGCTGATGTCAAGGGATGTCTGGGTGGATGTTGGTGAAGAAGGCAGGTCATCAATGATGGTGGCCTTGATGATGTCTTCCAGGGTGGTTGCAGAGTTGACCTCCAAGGAAGGAGAGGAAGCATTGGCAGCCATGGTGAAGATACACTATACAACACTATCCACACAAATCACAGAATAGAAAACACTTCAGCACTGCAAGACTTCACAATTCACTGAATCACAAAAGCACTTTTTATAAGAAACACAAGATTAACTCACAAATTTTCACGTAACAAATTCACACTTATACAAGGTATTATAAAACACAATTTTTAACACAAATTAAAGCACAAAAACACTTGGTTTTGTATTACTTTGTTGCCTTCTGAATTGAAGAATGGTAAAGACTCAGATCTCTGAACCTATTTATAGCCCAGTAAAATAGGTAAAAAATTAACTTCAAAAACTCAATCTCTCATTGGCTATTTAAGACATAGCTTATGCTCTGATTGGCTAATTAATCAAATCATTTAATAAAGTGGTATCTGATTGGTTGTTTACACCTATAGTTTACCCCTTTTAATTGGAAATTGAATGAGCTTGGATAATCAGTGAAGAGCTTGGTGTGATCACCTTGTAGGGTGAAGATGAAAGTGATAAGCTAACATATGATTGGTGATAATTAATACACAATACCTAACAGATCAAAGAGAAAGACTAAGGCAATTGATTACAATAGACCAATCATTAGATACAAACTACCTTTATACAATGTTGGACACAGGCATCAAAGTGAGTTGTTCACCTCTTATTGGATATTATTGGTAAAATTAATAATTTTGGAAAATTCCAGTTTTTTTTACATGAAAAATGGTCAGCTATAGATTTATCAATTAAAAAGGATGAATTAAACTTCACTTTTATAAAACATTTCATGTTTGTTTATTTTCTGTATGTTAATTTGTTAGATTCATGACTATATATCAATGATTGATGGTGTTGTCAATAAATAAATTGAATTGAAAAACATTTTTATATACAGAAAAAATTGAAGACATTTATATAATTTTTGCTTATGTGTAAATGAAAACATTCAGACTCAACTGACCCTAGAGTAATGGATGGAAATGAAACCTCTATTAAAAGGGACAAAAGTCTTGTCCTTTGACCCATAATTCCAGATGCAGTCCCAGAATCTTGACTACATTTGCTAGCTGATCTGAAATAGCTCTGGCATCAAAAAGCATTTGACATATCTGATTAAGTCAGAATCATAAAACTGAGTATGATAAAACGATTGCAATTAAGTCAATAGGGGTGTGTATAAGTATAAAACTACAGGAAAACATGCAGGAAAACAAACTAGGTGTGAACCAGTCTGATTAAAATCAGATCCTCAATCAGCTCCTTTGTTTTTTTTATTGTCGCTACACGAGGTAGCAACAATAAAAAAACAAAGGAGCGGATCAAGGATCTGATTTTAATCAGATTGGGTGTGAACAAACTGACAGGCTTTGCCTATTGCCCTAACTGTCCCTCCATCTCAGATAAGATCATTAAAATGTTGTAACATTGAATATGTCTAGCAATCATCACTTTCTTCAATCTATATACCGGTACATCCCTCTTCCCATTAATAGCTCAACTGGTTACAATTGTTAATTAACACCCAGACTTTGTGACATTCCCTTCACCTTATCACTCAAACTCAAAAAACATCTAAAAATACTTACCTTTTTTCTACTTCATGATATTTAGAGGAAAATAAAAGTGACTGTATGTAATTATCAATTCGTGAATATGTACATATTATATTGAATTTAATCATGTTAATGTGAATGATTTATTTAATGTTCACCTTTGTTGCATTTTTACATACAATTATTAATTACAAGGAGTACATTTTTTTTTTAAAGGCTTACTTTGATTCCGTTGGACAAGAATAGTTCTCTGATCTGTTAAAACATCTTGAATTTTCAAGTTATTCTCTAGTTCAGCCTTTATACTCCAGCTGTGTGACACAAGAAAATACAGATTATGCACTCAATCATGATCATTTAGTTTTGTTTTATTCAGACGACTGTACACATAATAATTCTATTTAATATTTAAAGTAAATAATAAAAAAAAACACCTGTCACCATAATTGAATGAGAAGCAGTCTTTTTTTGTATCAGACAAAAATAACATTGAACATTTTGTAAAATAAAAATGTTCATATACCTTTACTCTAATGTGACAAGAATCCTTCAGAAAAGAAACTATTTTTGTCAAGTGAAGTGAGCAATCAAAAAACTTTCATAATACATGTATTATTTAAAAAAAAAAAAAAAAAAGAATAACTGGTTATATCATCTAAATTGCTGTACCCTTCTTTTGTGCAGAATTGAAGATTTTCAAAGAAACAAACAAGTTGTCTCCTCATGACATCTCTGAGGCAATCCAGAGTTCCTTCCCCTATCTGTGAGGTGGGGACTTTAACAGCTCCCAAGCACCTGTCATCCTGTCCCAAGTTATCTCCCTTTAGAACCACCCCTAGTAATGTGTAGTCTTTATCCATCACTTTACAGAAGACATCTGGCCCTTCATTGTCTTCATTGGTCCTTCATGAGCTGTCTCAACCTATAAAATTTAACTGCAATCTTAACCAGCCACAAACATTCAAGTAAATTATAATTCTTTAATCTTCATTTCCTTGTTAATTAATATCACATCAGTAACTTAGATTGAATTTTCTAAAAAATATAGTGATTTTCCTGGACCTGCCTGTTGACCATGATGATGATGATGTTTGAATCCAAAATCTATAAAGATGGGGTAACTGTCTTTCAATCAAAAGCTTTATTTGCAACTCAGCATTTGGTACCTGGGTCTTCAAATCTATTGACATGTGAAAGAAAGTACCCATGCAAGTATTTAAGACTGAAGTATCGATACAAGTGTTCGGGTAATCCGAGATTCCTCTAACTCTAACCCCCGCTTTTATATTATGACTTGTGCACAAGTCATAATATAAAAGCGGGGGTTAGAGTCAGAGGAATCTCGGATTAGTGTTCGGGCAACTCCGTTGTCTGGAGTATCTACATTTTCTTTTGAAAAATATCTATTGCTAAACAAAAAAACCAAAAAAAATGTCTTTCAAAAGATCACACATACAAGATATTTGTAACCTAAGCGATTCTATTCTTTCATGTTCTGCAAATATTTATAAACCGAAATATTGAATTTCCCACCTCTACCGGAAATTCTTTCATTTTGTCTGCTCAGGCTGAAACCCCGAAAGACCCCATATATCCAATGTAAGTTCTAAGGGCCACACTTAAATTGTTTTTATTCGGGCAAATAAAATTATCAATCTAAAATTATACATTATATCATTATGGATACTCCTAGCTCCTAAAATGTCATTTTTTCCAAGGGTGCTCATGCGCGGATCTAGAAGGGGTGGGGGTCCGCCGCCCCTGGTTATTAAATGCATTAGCTAAACTAATTTAAAAGTTATCCCGGATTCCTCCTCCAGGAAAGACGACCTAGAAAACATATGAAAAGATCCGCGCCTGGGTGCCTGTGGACATGAAACACCCCCCCCCCCCCCGCCCGGGGGGGGGGGGTCATAATCATCACTCATATAATCCTTTTCCTGTCATACATATGAATATGTTTTTGTCCCCCGCTTTCGCGAAAGCGAGGGGACATTAAATCTCATTCGTCTGTCTGTCTGTCCGTCTGTCCGTCAGTCTGTCAGTCTGTCCGTCACAAAAACTTTAACCTTGCCCATAACTTTTGATTTAGTGGAGCTATGACTTTCATATTTCACAAGTGTATTCCTTGTGACAAGACCTTTCTTTGGGTACCACCAAATTTGACCTTTTGATCTTGACCTTGGAGTTTGATCCACTTTTACACAAAAATTCCAAACTTTTACTTTGGCCATAACTTTTGAATAGTAGGTACTATGACTTTCATATTTCACATATGTATTGTTTGTGGCAAAACCTTTCATTGGATAACAACAACCTTGACCTTTTGACCTTGATGTTGGAGATTTATGTACTTATGAAAAAACTTTAACCTTGACCATAACTTTTGAACGGTGAGGACGAAGGCTTTCGTACTTCACATATATAATCCTTGTGAGAAGACCTTTCATTGGATACCAATAACTTTTACCCTTTGACCTTGACCTTGGAGTTTTAATTACATTTTAAAAACTTTAACCTTGGTTACAACTTTTAAACAGTAGATACTAGGACTTTTATATTTCACATATGTATTCCTTGTGGCAAGACATTTCATTGGATACCAACAACCTTGACATTTTGACCTTGACCTTGGAGATTTATGTACTTATGAAAAAACTTTAACCTTGACCATAACTTTTGAACGGTAGATACTAGGACTTTTATATTTTACATATGTATTCTTTGTGGCAAGTCCTTTCATTGGATATCAACAACTTTGACCTTTTGACCTTGACCTTAAAGATTTATGTACTTATGAAAAAACTTTAACCTTGACCATAAATTTTAAACAGTAAGGGCTAGGGCTTTCATACTTCACATATGTAATCCTTGTGAGAAAACTTTTCATTGGATATCAACAACTTTGACCCTTTGATCTTGACCTTGGAGTTGACCTACTTTTAAAAAACTTTTTACTTTGGCCATAACTTTTTAACGGTCAGGATTAGGGTTTTCATCCTTCAAAAAAATCAACTTCAGAGTTACTTTCTAAATAAATGACATATGATAGGATGTTCATATTACACACAATATGTCATAAAAATAACATCTCACCCACAAAGACACCGAAAACGGGGGACCACAATTCTTTGAATTTGCTTGTTTATTCACCAATCGAGGGTCCTCAGGGGGCATGAACCATTAAATTGTTACAATATGATTACGATTGGATAGAATAGATGTGTATTGTTATAGATAAGATAAGATAAGATAATTTTATTTTCCAATTTTGGGCCCATAAGGCATAAAGGTTCTTTTTACAATGACAAGATAGAAAGTTCTGAAGGAAAGGTTAGTAAGATATACCACAAATTGAATCAACATGAAAGTGTTAGGATTTGTCACATATTCCCAGTATAGTTTCCCGATCAAAAATATAGAAAACCACAGTGTGATCTCATCCAATAGAATTTCTCAATTTTTTAAAAAATTTCTTGTCGTGTCACAGAAAGTCAATGTGTTACTTGTCAATTTAAAAAGAAGTTATTTAAAATCATATTTCAAATTAAAAAGAATTATTTCTTTTCACGTACCAACTTTTAAAAAAAGATGAATTTTAATGTCGCAGCGTTCATAAATTCCACTTGTACACATTTTCACAGTGGTAAGTAAATTAAATCCCTTTATTATTATTTTTTTTTTTCTCTGGGATCGTCTTTGACTATATACATATACAATGTCAAGGTTTTGTGATTTTGGAACTCCACACAAACGTTTGTGAATATTAATGACCTAGTGTTAAAGTCAGAAAACAGCTCAAATATGAAAAAAATTACAATCCGAAAATTGATAGCGTTTCTAATTATCATAAATGGGGAGGGATGCGTTGGATGCAATTGCATTCTCTTTTCAGGCAAATACATGTACAGTGTACATGTTATGATGTATATAAAATACACATGTAAAATAAAAAGTATGAAAATATATGCATGCTTGTGTCGTACGTCATCATATAATCCGCAAGATCGGAAGCTTTATGCTGTTTAGTATAGTTTTTGAAAGGACGGATTTTAAATTTCTTCAACTTGAGGTGCTCGCATGAAGATTTTGTAATCTTGACCTGTACACTCGTATTAACGTACATGTGCATGACCCTGACTTCTGGATTTAAATCTTTATTAGAGTTTATGTCTGGACAAGCTAGGTCCGTAGCTGTGGCCACTTTTAAGTGCCAATAACTAGTACATGTACATGATAAATGCTTGTTTGTCCATTTAAGGTCTTATTATATTCTGAACTTATACGAGGGCCGTTCAAAAATTACGCGGACTTGTTGCACAGAAAAAATATTTGACGACATAATCGGGCAAAATGTCACACATAATATAAAAGAATCTTTACTTATATGGTCTTCGAAATTTTCTATCAAAATGTTGTAAATTGGTATCAATTTTGAGTGATTTTTCGGGACATATCATAAAGTCATGGAGCAGCAAAATCTTCGACGTCACTGGCATTATAAAAAATATGTGATTGAGCTTTCATTTTCTCAACATTTTCCCATGAGTAGCTGTACAGTTTGAGTTACCTTATCTACTCAACATTCAAACACCATTTCTTGTCAAGCTTAAAATCTATTAAACAAGTAAAGAATATTCTTTTTTTTTTGTTTTAAAACCAAAAACTGCAGGTATTTATGAGATATAGTGTGATATTGGTGACTCTCAATCACGTTCTTTACAGTCCGGATAAAGTTTTCTTCGGTAATCTTCTTCCCGTCCTCCCGTAAAGCCTTTTTACAGAGGTCTAACGGTCTAAATTTCAATTTGCTATTTGTGGACGAATGTCACGAATACCCTAGTATACTTCATGTTTTATTATGCATATTATGGATCTATATTGGCGATATCTCGAGTATTACACATAATTTAACAAAAGTGTGGTGCGCCGTCAATTCAGGAGACGTCATTTTCACAGTATCAGAGAAAAATCACTATATTTCTGTTAGTATTTCAAATATCACGTCAGAAATCTAAATACATAATAATAGAGCAATTAAAAGATACATTTGAGAAAATTGTCGAAAAATATGTAATTATAGAAAATTAATGAGTTTAATTTTGGATTCCGCATGCTTTTGCTTCTAATTTTTTGTCGTGCTCCGTATCTCTCCATCAGCGATATCAACATACCGATAATTTTAGTAGAATTTTTTTGAAATACAGAAATTTGGCCCAAAATTTATTTTAATCTTTAAGATACATATTTCTGTGAAATTTCATAACTATATGACGTCTGTAAGAGTAAACTAGAGGTACTGTGAGCAATGAGCTCACTAAATGATACCCCCCGCCTCCCATATGGTTATAACTGATGACAAAGTCCATGTTTTACTGTGGTCGGGAAACCCAAAATATGTGTCGGATCAAAAAGTAAAATAGGAGGTGCACAATGGCAATATGTAATAAAGATTCTGTGAAAGTTTCATTAAATTTCACTCAATGGTTTAAGAGGAGTTGCGGATAAGAGATGGGTACCCTAAAGCGTAACAGACGGACGGACGGACGTACAGACGGACGGACGGACAGACGGACGGACGGACGGAATTAACGATTACTATATACCCTCCCGCTTTTCAAGCGGGGGGTATAATAATAGCACAGTCCGCGTAATTTTTGAACGGCCCTCGTAGAACTAAGATAAGACAAACCAAGGACAAAATTTTCAGGTAACATAAGTCATTTTAAAGCAAATTCATTATATTCACATCAAAATGCAATACTGATCAGTGTTTTTTTTTTGGCTACTGTTTCGAGGGGTTTGGACAAACTTGTTTGTATAAAAGAAACTAATTTCTAAAAATTGCTAGCGACAGCAAGTGCAGCATTTTACATTGTTTTATGCATTTAAGGTAGCTAAGGACACCTGACCCAAAAAAAAAACTGTCAATAGATTTTGTTGAAATTTTCACACAGCGTAAAGGGCAATCTCCTATGCAGAGTTGTCGTTCGTTCCTCTCTCAGACACCTCTGAGGTGAATGTATGAGCCGATGGTAGAGAGTGCGTAAAGGGATGTGTAATGAACACTTAGTCGAAATATGAACATGGCATTGTGGGTAAATTACGGAACCAGGGGGCAATGAGTTACCTCCCCTTTCCAGTCACTCAAAAAATCATAATACAAGACATATATTTCACATAAAAAAATTTATTATGCAATATGCATTAAATATTAAAATTTATTTTTAAACATTATTGATACTATAAACTTATTTGAACAATGGATTGTCTGAATATAGATGAATTAAGAGAATACAACATGTAAAACATTTGAAATTTAACTAATTTGACTATTTTCATGCATACAAATTTGACACTTTTTAAATTCTAAAAAAAATCTGTCCAATAGAATTTTGATTTTTTATCATTATATGAAAGATTTATCTAATACTATTCTTCACTCAAAAAATCTTGGTCACATTGAGGGCTAATAAAGGTACCAAATGGTCCACAACTACCCCCCCCTCTCTCTCTCTCTTTTGGTTTCCCGTCATTAAGGTAAGAATAATGATTAAAGTGGCTATTCAAAAAACTGCATAGCAAATTAGGGAAAACAACTGAAGAAATAAATCAAAAGTAAAAATCAATTTCTAAAAAATGACTAAAGAAAACATTTTTATGAAATTAGAAATAATATACATTGTACATGTAGAGAAATAACATGAAGAGTTACCTCCCATCTCCACTCACAACAAAACTTGTGATTAAACCAATATTGAAATAATTCATAAAAAATGAATCAGGCGCGTAGCCAGGCGTACGTTTGTACGCACAAACGTCCACATCATTTTTCAAAAAAAAAAAAAAAAAAAAGAAAGAAAGAAAGAAAGAAAAGAAAAAGAGAGAGGAGAGCGAGACAGCGTAATATTGTAAAGCGTTCTCATCATTTTTGCAAAATATTAGAAAATAATTTTTAAAAAATACTTAGAAACAATTTAGAATTCACGATAAAAAAATAAATGAAAAATCAACAGAATCAGTTTTAGGAGAAAATACGAGAGTAAACACCTCACTGAAATCAAAAAAATTTCCAGGATTTTGGTTTACTATCGAATATTACATAGTTTTTTCCAAGTGTAATTACATTCTTAAAGAGTTTCTCTATCGTAGATTTCATACTATAAAACCCTAGTCGGCTCTCTTAAAACAAACGATAATATTTAATGCCAAAAATTTCAATTTCTATTACTGGAAACTAACTTCCAACCGTAATGCTTAACTTCTGTAACGATATCCCTCCCCCTTCCAAAAAAAAAGAAAAAAAATTTGATATCGGATTCGTGCGAGACTTCAAAAATCATAATTCAGCTTTATATATGAACATCATCAATCGAAATATTGGTAAAATTCAGTTTAACCTTTAAAAAAAAGTCCTCTTAAGTATTGAAATCCGTAACACTACCTTTAAACCATTACTATATATTTTTTTAATTGTTGCAAAAAGTTAAATATACCAAATTTGTGAATATTTATGAACATTCATTCTAAAATGTAAACAATGTACATAGCTAATGTGCAAAAAAAAATGAGTTGAAAAGAATTCTATCTTCTGTCTTTGTTAATTTAATCTTTAGAGGCGTATTTTCAATATTAATGTAAGCCTGACTATCAGTCAATTACGCGGTCTGTCTAAACCAGTCAACCACTCACTACAAACAAAGCTATTGGACATATCCTTTCTCTTTATTGAGTGACTGTCCGCATTTTGTACAAGGAAAGAACAGACCTCAAATGTGGCTGCGAAACAAACTGAAAAAGTGCAAGAAAAATGCTCTCAGAAGGGTCAAATATATGCAAATCGAAATCGTCAGAAATTCATAGGGCTTTGCCCTATAGCGGCCCCCTAACCCCCCACCTATTCAGGCGTCCACATAAAAAGTACCCTGGCTACGCCCCTGTGAATTGTTAAATATGTGCTTTATTTTTTAGAAAATTCCTCAACTAAATTAAAATATGAATTTATATTTCAACAATAGATACTTGAATAAAAATGTAATTTAAAAAACATATCAAAAACTCTCCAACATGAACCCTTTTGATTACTTTCATGGAAAAAAAATCTATGTTTTCTTATAGATTTCTAAAAAAATATATATATTATGAAAAAAATGTCCAATACTATGTCTCACTTAGAAATCTTGGCCACATTGAGACGTAATTAACTATTAAGTTACAAAATAGTCTAATACCCCCCCCCACCCCCCCCACCCTTTATGCATCTGATATTTTTTTTCATTGCAATGTCAAAAATCCCCCAATTTATTAATATGTCAAATGCATTCTACTTTGTACGAAAAAAAATTTTTGGTCATACAAAATCAAATCAAAACAGTACTGTGAGCAATGAGCTCACTAAATGATACCCCCCGCCTCCCATATGAATATAATGGCAGTGTCCATGTTTTGCTCTGGAAAATCAAAAATATATGTCAGATCAAAAAGTAAAATAGGAGGTGCACAATGGCAATATGTAATTAAGAATCTGTGAAAGTTTCATTAAATTTCCTTCAGTGGTATGAGAGGAGTTGCGGATAAGAGATTGGTACCCCAAAGCGTAACAGAAGGACGGACGGACGGAAATACCGATTACTATATACCCCCCACTTTTCAAGCGGGGGGTATAAAAATCCATCTGACATACATGTAACACTGCACAATTCACATAATTCTATATTCCATATAAACAGTACACTTAATTAATTGAGTATTTTATGTTTAACTGTGTTTTAAACAACGGTTATCATGGTTATATATATGTTGATAGAAATTAAGTGATCTGACAGTTTTGAAACAAATTTTTGAAACAATTATAAAGTACTGAATTACCCCCTTTCCCAAATTAATGTGATCGTGGCATGTTATAGTTGCTTACTATAAATAAGAAAAATTATCTTTATCATGTTTATTAAGTTTTATTTTTAGCTTCGAGCGGACATTGCATTTTACAATTTATTTTATTAATGTAGAACAATATGTCATTAATATAATTTATTTAACTGATTAAGATATGTAAGTTATATTACTGAAGTTGTTTGCATGATTTGAGCTGAATCAAAACAAAAATAGGGAAAAGTCCGCGTTCGAAACAGTATGAGCACAAAATAACCCAGCTTCGGGTTAATGGCCTGACGTTCACTGCATTTAGTTGAACCACAGCTGGCGAAAAGCAACATGGTGATCGTACGTTCAGATGATGAAACATCTGTCACCGCCGTTTTCTTGATTTTTTAATGGATCTAACCAAAATTATTTAAGGTAATTATTTTAAAGATTATGTTTATTAACTTGTAAGCCTCGAAGTTCACACAATGTTCAGGGGTATTATCAAAATGACCGAGGGGAGTGCGCACAACACCGCAAACTAAAGCCCAATGACTTGACCTTCAACTTGTTTACGCGGGGAGGATTAAAGGGTCATGGTATTACACATGGAATGATTTATTCGTGTTCGAACTCAGTGTTCCAGTATATCGACAACTTGCGACAAGAATGGTTCTTTATTTAACAGTATTGAAATTTAATTCTGCCAATTCTAGTGAAAAATGAGTGGGAATATTGAATTCTTTTCCCCATCGTGGACCCCCAAACGCCTTGATCATCAGCTGTTTTGTATAGTAAAGGTAATGCTGACTTTTGGAAATCTCGCCACATTTGAATTCTCCATATAGTCTCTTTATATTTCATTCCTGGGCTTTGTCAATCTTTCAAAAAAGGTTCAAAACATTTTTAAGTTGATTATAACTAAAAAAGAAAACCAGTCACTGGAATAGCAAAACAAAGGTAGGCCTTTTCTTGAAGTATTTTTTAATTAGTAATGATGTATAAGTGGCAGGGGAGTGTCTTTCAGCTGAGACAGATTGTCTCTGCTTTCAGTTTCTGGTTTCCTTATATAATAGCCCATAGAATTATTACTTCTTCATTTTACCTAGCATATATTTTGGAAGCCATACAGGCACATTTTCATTTTCCCATTGGTATTATAGAATGTATAAACAGATTTAGTGACAAATTATTGTTTTTTTTTGGGGGGGGGGGGGCAGAGGCAGATAGGGTCTCCTTTTTGAGGATAAACATCAGTAAATTCAAGAAGTGTATCAATTATATATTGATAAATAAGATGTATTCCAAATGCTTGATATCTATTTACAATTTTTGTACAGTAGATTTGTAGCTCTCTGCTTGAGAAAATTTGGACAGATAAAGCAGGAAGCTACAGATCCATGCATTGTCAAATACGATTTATGACACCACTTTTTTGTCACTCACTTTAGGTATCATTTCTTGTATTTTCAGCTTTTGTCCACTTTTAGAATGGTATCCACTTGTTAATAGGGCTGTCACAGGTACCCGAAATGACCCGGAATTGCGGAATAATTAATTCGGGTCAGGTTCAGTTCTGTTTTCCCAGAATCCGGTTCGGTTCCATTTGTACAATAGAGTACTGTAGGTTTTACCATAAAAATGGCATCCAAAACGAAAGATTCATTAGCATATTACCATTAAAAACGGTAATAATGTTATTTGAATCATTTGGTTCAATAATTTTTCTAGTAAGGAAACTTATTTTAAGGTCAGACGACACGTTCCTCAAATACATAATTTGTATCTCTTGGTACTATATGAAAAATTATTCATATTTGTCATTCTCTTCTGATTTCTACATTATTTTCAAATGTTTTTAAATATTAGTACACCAAAGATGTGTTATAGGCCATTTTGAAGATGACCCATAGGGGCTATATAAGAAATATAACCAGTCATTATTTTTTGTGAGGAAACTATGTACCTTTACTTCAATGACAAATTCTTGAAAATTATATATAAAATGTTTTTGCTTGAATAAAATATAAAATTTTTGCTGAATATAATTCAAATCATGAGTTTTTATTCTATTAAAAACCGGAACCATAAAACCGGAAACCAACCCTAAAAAATTAAGAACCGACCCAACCCGAAAAATTTTGGAACCGTGACAACCCTACTTGTTGAACATGTATTTCACAACTACTTCGGATACCAGCAATTTTTTTCCACCCATTGGGAAAGGGTCCGGTACCGGTTCAGTTGGGAAAAATAACATAAAAGAAAAACAGGAGAATTTTCTCTCATTTATGCAAACGCAACGATTTTTGCGTTTATTCCGAATTAATTACCTATTGCTCCTTGGTTTAAAGAATAAGCAACAAGTACAATTTTGGCATTGGGAATGGTGCCGTTTATAGTACCAGTTATATAAGGAAAAAAATGCTGGATACGTTATTTACATTTCAACGGTCCCAAACAGCCCTCTATGTTTTTGGAATGTTGGTTTATCGAATTTACATTCTGAGGTTCATTTAAGAGATCATGGCTCTGTAGAATTCAAAGAACATAAGCTTGCCCAAAAATAAGAGTAAAATACATGCTATGATATGGTAAATTAGGGAAACCATTTCTAAAGTGGAGAATAGCATAAAATACAGGAAATGGAACCCGGAGTGAGCAACCAAAAAACAGTGGTGTAATTTGAAGGTTTTTTTAACAATGTTTGGATCTGTAGCTCTCTGCTTTATCTGTCCAAATTTTCTCAAGCAGAAAGCTATAGTTCTACAGCTATGAAATACTCTACAGTGCACCCTCGAATTGTCCTTTCCATGAATTGCCCTGAATTTATCTATTAATTAAGGTGTCATTTAGATTAGTTGTGGTATCCATGAAATCAGTATTATCACCTGTCAGAGATGATGTGTTTTCTTTTATTGACAGAGGTGTCATAGACACCCCCCCCCCCCCATCCTTGGGGGCCTGTATGGCACTGACTATTGAGTTGTTTGAATTTAAAGTTATGTGAGAACTGATTGATGCCATATCATATTTTTTATATTACATGTACATGTATTGATCAATTGGCAATTGTTGTCATTTTGTATACCAATACATGTACATGTACTAATCATCCACGATAGTCAGACTTTATTGGTACCAGAAAATTGAGGAGAGTTTGTGGTCTTTGAATGAAAATTCACTGATAGGAAATATTTTTTTTCTTCTTATACACTTATTTGTGGATAGCAATATACCTCTTAGATGTAAGGCATTACATATATATATATTAACTATGAAGGAATTGTGTTTATTTGTTCTCAGTGATGCAGATTGTGTTAATTAAGTTCAATCTTTTATACACATGATATATGGTATAAACAAATCAGTTTAAGATTCTATTTTCTTCTAAAGGAATTGGATCAATTTTGTGAAGAAAAAGAAATCCAACTAGAATATTTCACCATGCAGGACCCACACTCTTTGGACTGTGATGGCCACTTCATGGATTTGTCCAGTTCAAGTTTCATGGGATTTGAAGATAAACTATCATCCCATCCCGGGACCAGCACGGTCCAATCAGTTAGTCAGTCAATGGCAACCCAGACCACAACACAACTGGTAATGTCCTCAGACCAACATAAAAGTGAGGGGTCAAAGAGGAAGAACAAGTACAATTGGAATTATTTCAACTTCTATAACTCACCCATAATTCCAGAAACTATTGAAGACGAGGATTCCAAAGTCATTACGAATGGTAAGCATGAATAGATGGATTCAATTTTATTTGGGGAGGGATGGGGTCTCTTGTTTGCTCTCACATACATGTTTCATAATAAAATTCATGTCAATCATTAAATGATTGTCTTTTTCATTTGTACAGCACTTTGACTAACTACTGTAAACCAACTTTTATTTGCGTGCGAGAAATTTTCGCGAAGTTCGCGAATGCCTTGTCATCGCGAATATTTCTCGTCGCTAATTAATTTTGGAATGTAATTTGTGTTATGATTTGTAATGAATTTGACTCTTTGCCTGAATAAACATAATAATAATAATAGTCGCGAACCGATTCTTAAAGTGTATGTGTCTATTAATAACAGATCTAAAAAGGTTTAATCGCGAAAATTAATCGTCGCGAACTAGTTTATCCCTGGTTAATCGCGAAATAAAGTTGGTTTACAGTATTAATGTGACTTTATTATCATAAATCATCATGCAACTTAAAGGCCTTCCTGCACTTGAATGTGCATGATCCTGGACAAATACTGCATTTCACTTAAAATTTGCAAGAGTGCAGTTAACCTTTATTTGCTGTTTTTCTCCCAAGATGTTGTAATATTAGAATTGATTGACAGTTTAAAGAGAATAGTATGTGTTATCTACAGAAAAAAAAACAGAACCAGTTACTTGCAGATTTTCCTTGTACAACCTAGTGTTAACGTTGTTTTGGTGTTAGTAGAAATACAGGTACACATAGTGTGGTACACATAGTGCATGCACTGCACTTATCATACCGGTAATCAGAAATGGATTTTATTTGCTTAGTTATAACAATTATAACAATATTGGGAATATATTTCATCAATTACTAGCATTTTCATATAAAAGAAAAATCTACTGATATATGTGCTGTTTCTATCTTTATGCATGATCATTATTATAAATCTCATTAGTTCTTATTACATTCTATAAAAAATTTTGTACCTCTGATCTGTTTTAGTTTCTTTGAAACGTTATAACTACCCCCCCCCTCCCTTTCCGCCTCTATAAGCCTTAATGCATAAATTTATACAAGTATATATTCTGTGAACCTAAGGAATTCCAGTTTACCTTATTCCTGTTTATAAACTCAACTTCCTGTTCATAACCGAAATTAAAAAATAGTTTACACCTTTGTCTAAAAATAAAGCTTAAAAATATTTCCCATTAGCTATTCAACTACGCAGAATATTGAGTGGCCTTGACCTTGTCCGTATTCTGGTTCTCTGATTACACTGCATAGTTGTTTATATATGCATTCTACGTGTTCTAGACTCATGATGCAAGATGGATCCAGTTTTAAAAAAAGTAAACAAAATTGTTATTATTAAGATAAATAGAGTGGTAATGCATGGTAATTATAATTGTGAAATCTGTAGTATTGGACAAACACTAACAGTGTTATAGCAGGTATAGTCATAGTGCTTGAAGTATTAAATTAACTTTTTTTTTGTATGATCGAAAGATGTTGAATTAAAGCTATTATTTTAAAGTATATACATGATGGTAAATATAAAAGATTTAAAGTAATGTTTTTTTTTTGTTAGTTAATGTAATTTTCATTTTAAAGCTATCTGCTGAGACTCTTTAATCTTAGAACATCCAATATCTACTGATTATGCATGAAATTTTAATATATGTTAATATTAAGATTAATTATGCATGCAAAAGTTAAATAGAAAGGAAAAAATTAGCATATGAAGTTAATCATATTAATTTCAAAAGTAAAATTTTAAAATAATAATAACAATTTTCAAAAAACAACAACAAACTAACAAAAACTAAATTTGACATAAAAAGGAATAACTATAGATTTATTGTTTTGTGTATGAAAATTTTGTTATAGGTATTAAATAAAGGAAAATTTGATAAATGTAGCTTGATTTGCATTTCTTATTCGATGGTTTGATTTTATAGTTTTGCATGATTAGTAATACTGGTATGAAACGTACCATCGTGACCGTGATGACAGGAAATGATAACATTTACATCACTGTAGAAAGTGTAATCGATTGAGTATTCAATGAATTTGTCAGTATTGTGACATAAAAGAGAGATAATATTACTATGATGTAGGTTAGGGGTGGAAAAATTGTCATGTTTGGACAGTTAGCACATGTATGCTTAAAACTGCTGCATGTTTATGGTAGGTACAGAAGCTTCATGTATGTTCAAATTGGCTCCTTTTGTTTGATAATCAAATGAGTTAAAAGAGTTATAATTTGCAGTGAATGGTATTGAAAAGTGGATGTTTTGAAACCAGAATTTATTGATTCAAAATATTCATGAATGCTACATGAGGGTGACTGAAGATTTTACTAATTTTCCTCAAATCTGATGGACTTTGGTCAAGTTTGAGGGAATACTAAGCACAAGTCCTTTGTTGAGCATGACTGAACAGTATAGAAAAACTATTATGAGTATCGGTATCTTCACTCTTCAATGTCTTTACAATTTTTGTTGTTTTATTTTCAGATTCCACTGAACCAACAATACCTGTAGCACCTGTGCCCCCACCAGTGAATGAAGTTACACCTGTGACATCTACAGCAGGTACCAGACAAAAAACTAAGCCAGGGAGCAGCCTATCTGCTGAGGTTACCAGACAACAGCTTACCGGTGCCAAAATCTCCAACCTGACAGATCTACTGAACTCCAGTGAGGTGAACAGATACTTTGACTCAGGAAAATTCGAATCCTCTCCCCTAAAGAAATCAAATTCACTGTCAGATATACAGGTATTAAGTGAAAGTTTCCGTGGAAGGTCAGAGTCGGCTTCATCCTCAGCCTCTCTCCCGCCCACGCCTAATGGGTCTCCAAAAATTCCCAGGCGAGCCGGCTCCCTTCAACAGCTAGACAGTCTACACAAAAACAAGATGGAGGACAATGTGTTTCATAGCTCTGACCTGAACTCTCTAATTGAGCGGGACGTACACCAATTGTCTATAGGAAGTCGGAAACACACAGATTTCAGTGAGAGAAATAAATTCATGGAATCTCATTCATTTGACCATAGTGAAAGTAAAAGTAACAGTAAAAAGACGGAGTCTCTGTTCCAGAAGATTCAGAGCTGGAGTACGACGTCACAAATCAAAGTCGCCAACAAGGATGTTAATGCATGGGCACCAGGAGGGTTTTAATATTATGTCAGTAAACTATTTGATTTATTTTGAATTTCTTTTTTATCATGATGTACAGTAATGTTGTATTTTTTGAAAGTTTTGACTTGAACATTGTTTATTAATATTACTCATATTATGTTTTTCTTCATTTTTTTTGGTGCAAGTTTGATTACTGGTATACAGACATATGTACAAGATCATTTAATGTTGTTTGTGCATATACTTTGATAAATACATTATAAATTTTTAAATCCAAAATTTGTGCCATTTCCTTTATTTAAGTTATATGATATTCATAGATATTTGAATTGTTTTTGATCATTTTGTTATGTCATATTTTTAAGTCCATCTGATTTTTTTTTTTTTTTTTTGCCAATTTATAGGGTAGTTCAATGAATTAACTAGTGCTAATTGTAACGGGGACCGTTACAGATGTTCCCCAAACGCTCCCAAACTCCCTTTTGGTGCCATATTCCCTGTTATCTCTATTAAATAAGAAATACTTTATGGAATTTAGACTTAATCAAGGTCTTCCAAGAAAAATACAAAATATATTTAAAAAATAGGCATTGCACGCGTGTTCATGTGCGTAACGACCATATTATCTTGTCTACACTATCTAAAATTTTAATAATATCAAAGCATTTAATCCAAAAGTATTAAAAAATACACTCATTCGAGTGTATTTTTTATTTTACTCAACGTGCACGCACGTGCAAGCACGTGCATAATGACTACACCTTCTTGTAGGAGTCCCTTATATTTATCCAAGTTCTAAATCCCATCCAGTTTGGTAGAAAAACAAGAGAGTTATAGCCATTTGAAGTTTGCCAATCAGATTGCAGCACACGTGCATGCGCGTGATTTCATGAATATTTTCTACATCCTATTTTAGGATATCGTAATGCATGACTATGTTTTAAATTTCAAAGCATTTCGTCAAAAAACAAAGGAGATATAGCCATTTAAAGTTTTAGCCAATCAGATTACAGCACGCGCGCATGCGCATGCTTTTATTAAAATTTTAATACATCATGCTGTAGATCTTCAACCATGTTCAAAATTTCAAAAGATTATGACAAGAAACAAGAAAGATATTGAGACTTTAAGCCAATCAGAGCAAAGCGCACGTGCATTGATTGCTATTTTGACCATGCCATCTTGTCTATACTACTAATGTATCCTTACATTATGAGTTTCAAAGCATTTTATCAAAAAATATCCGACTATATCTATTATATTGGTTATTTCAAGTGGTGCACGTGCGCGCTCTTGCAAGCACGTGCGCGCAAAATGACCTTGATTCCGCAAATCTGCATAACATGTCTACTTACCCTAGAAAGGTTTTACCTACCTCGGACGAACAGTTTACAAGATCATTCCCGGACAAAAAAGTACCCAGGAAGAAGAAGAAAAATAATAATAATAATAATAATAATAAGAAACAGAGTAAAAACAATATGTTCCCCAACTTCGTTTGGGGAACATAATAAATCTTACCAAAGAGGAAAAAAGTGCTGATATGTTTCCATTTAGTTTAAATGTAGTAATGTCTGTAGTGTACTGAAGGAGCACATTTAGGTGATCCTGGAGAATGTGTTCCTTCAGATTTTTGAATCTCACTTTACAGAAAAAAAACATCAACAACAACAACAACAAAACTGCTGAAAATGCAAACCATTGTTACTGAACTTTCTTCATTGTAAAATATTTTGATTTTGAAGAACTATAAAATCTTTTTCTATAAAGAAACAGAAGTTATCTCCCTTATAATGCTTTTGAGGTAGAAATCACGGATTTGCAGAATCTTTTGTATTGCATTTATATTAACTTTAGTGAATGAAATATGTTCAAAATAACAGGACACAGCAAGCATGATCAACCAGTAGGACTGGGTCATTTGTTTAGGTTCTGGACTGAACACATTGTCACTGCCGCTGTCACTACTGGTTATTGGTTTGTGCCAGTGAATAATTTTTTAAAAAGAAACAGAAGTTACCTCCCTTTTAGTGTTTTGCTTTGGATCTTGGGAAATTTTCTTTGGCAACTATGTTTACCAGAGTATTTGTCTTCTAGTGTTTTTAATGTATCTATATATATATACATGTACTAGTATTATAATATATGAAAGTTTTGATTTCGCTACACAAGAACAGTTCAGCAGTATTTTATTGTTATTTCAGTAGTTCACAAACTACTGTATACAGGGTTATTTTCGCCCCATCTTATTTTCGCCCTTTCACACTTGCAAACAATTTTGCCCCATTTTAAATTCGCCCAATCATAGATTTGTTTAAGAAATTAGACTGTATTCTTTGAATTCGCCCCGTATTAAGTTCGTCCAAATGAGAGTAGGGCAAAAGGGGCGAAAATAAAACGGTGGTGAAAATTTCCCTGTATACAGTATAAGCAATTCTGATGATGTGTGATGTAGGTATATATGTGTTGTAACAAGGCCTTTTAGGATAAATACACATGGACTTCTACTGAGTATGACTAATATTAGAATCATGAACATGTAATTCCTAAAGAATCCATTGAAGGTAATGAATGTTACACTTAGAGAAAGGAATAAACCAGATTTTCTCTTTGAAATGTGGAATTTTAAAATCATTGTGAATAAATATATAAATGTTTCTAGCTTGACATTCTTCATCAAAGTATTGGATATGGTGTTAAATCTACAATTGATTGACTTGAATATGACAGATCCTTTTATTAATTTGATCGTTGACTCAGGAATCAAATTATTGCAACATTTTGCTGATAGTTTTACATATGATATCAAGAAACATCACTTTTTTTTATAAAAATAAAATTTATATGAAAAGAAAAGGTATTTTCAGACTTAAAAATCTCTAGTCTCATCAAGAAGAAGAGGACCATAGTTATTTATACTTTATATTAATCTTTATCAACACCAAATGTTGGGGGCGGGGGCACAACTTTACAAGCAAAAATAGTCATCAGGTATGTTTTATGGAGGGGGGCTGGATGGGACTTAGCTTCTTTTCCTGATGTAAAGTATATATACTGGCAAAATTATTGTCCAGTTTTTAAGGACCTGTGAACACATTAAGGTTATGCAGATTGGAACTTATATACTTTACATGGGAATAATAGAAAAAAAAATATTAAAAATCTTTTTCAATAGGCCAAGGACATTAGTGAGCTCGAGTGTTGTGGCCATGGACTTCTTGCTGGCTCAACCCAGTATGTTACATACCCATTTGAATTACTGGAATAAATAATATTGAAAAAATCCAAAATCTCTTATACGCAATGAACTTCAATAAAAATTATTTAATTTGGGTTATGGATTAAAGGGTTACTGTGCATATATTTACATTGTAAACTAACGAGGAATTGATTCACTTGAACCGTTTGGGTTAATTAAAAGAATTTTAAGATCTGGACAAACATGGCTCTAACGCATTGACACAAGTCAAAGAATTGATTAATTGCTAGCTCTGTATGTTAGGTGACTTGCTGGAAAGGTCAGGATCACTCAAATGCAAGTTTTTTTTTTTTTTTTTTGATATTTATAGCATTGAAAATAAATCGTTTAAACGTACATATTACATTCAATAAAAATTAGTAATGCATAAATTCATTATTTAGGTCTACAGCAACGTTTTTCAAAGTGGGGGATTTACCACATAAATTAACCTTAAGGTAGTCCGATCCCTAGGTCCTAAAATCAGGCATAGAATAATTGAAAATTCTCAGAGTAATGTCTCTGAATCTCAAATTTATGTGTGTTTACCCAATTCTGCAATTCTTTATAATCATCCTTAAAGTTAATCATATTATACGGGGTAAAAATAATGAATCTCAAATAAATTTTCAGGAAATGCGAATAATAACACCTTCTATGCATTTTCTAATTGAAAGTTAATCAACTTGTACATTTTAGGTACCTAGGCGTTTGAAAAAAATTGCATGATTTTTATACTTCATACGACACTTAAGTTTCTTTAAGTTACTTCAGTCATTTTCAAATACATAACGTATAAAGTCTTTCCTATCATTGCAAAATACAAGAAATCACATCTGATTTCATATCATCCTAATTAACATTTGTATACTAGTATATGGTTGGTAAAGGAAATTTGCATGTTTTCTTTAATTCAACTTTTAATTTTAGCGTTTCTATAAGAGCTTCAAAGAACCCTAAATGACATTAAAGGGCATGAAATGAAAATTGTTGCAAGAAAATATTTCAATTTCACGCTTTTGTTTAGACTTCTTGAATTAAATTATAGATTAAAGAGTTATTCTTCCTGGATGAGGATCAGCTATCCTTAAATTCTTGATTCAGTAGGTAGAGATGGAGTGGGTGGGTGGCTTAATTTAAACATTTTTCAGCTTAATAATCTGAGAGACTGTCCTCATAATTAAATGTAACCCCCCCCCCCCCCCACACACACACACACAAGGAAAAGATAACCGACCAAAGTATCAAACGTATCGCCGAAGGGGACATAGAATCATTCTCTGCAGTACTGAGGACATCTTTTTCAATTATGGTATTTATATAATTGAAATTCTCTGTAATTTTCCGGGGGGGGGGGGGGGGGGGGGGGGGAGGTCGGCAGAGCAATCATGGAAATAAAACCAAGAAATTAAGGTTCATATTAGTTCTTATTAAATTGCCAAAGCGCGGGGAGGGGGTAGGGTTGCTTAAAAAAATAACAAATAAAAATTACAATCATCAAAAATGTTACTTTGAGAAATGGATGAAATGTAATTCCCCGAATAAATCCATCAGAATATAAAAGTAGATTTATTTACACTAAGCACAGATACAATGTCATATGGCTTTAGGATTTCATATCAATGTCATAAACCTTTATGTTATTAGCTAAAGTGACAAAGCCTTAGCCAGTATTTGTAATACATTCATACTCTAAAATCAATAGATTATTTGATCGAAATCTGATTAGCTCGCACAGTATATATGCGTTCTATCCTAATTACCGCTTTACCCAGGCGAGCGGCTAGTCGCGGAAAATATGACGCGTCCGACACACAGCTCAACTCCTGGAGCATTTTGTTGAACTTCGAACATTTGAAAAAGAGAAAAAGTTTTTCCACACAAAATTATCACTAAACATGGGATACGCTCTCAAAGATCCTGAAACTAATGAGTCTGTGTTTACCTTTTTTTCGGAATTCAACCAAACTTGGGCAGGTGAGAATCTTATAACTCTTCTTCATTCGGAAAAGTTTTGTAACATTTAGTTTCCCAAATATTATGTGTCGAGACTGTTTTTAATTCTATTTTTTTGTTTCATCGTGCATGTACAATTTTTTAAAT